CGATCGGCGCGGCGCGGGCTCGGGAGGCGAGGAATTTACCAGCTCGCAACATTTCTATCCCTATGATTGGCGCCACCTGATGTCGATGCCGATCTAGGGGGTCCCTCCGTTTCTGAGGGCACATCCTTGAGATTATCATCGTCTTTGGCTTGCCGATCTTAGGGGCAGGGATCGGTCCGAGGCTGGTTAGGGATCTTTGGGCGGATATCCAGAGGTCCCCGCCCGCCGTAGAGGTCGCGCTACGCTCTGAATTGGTCTTGGAAGCGCTAGGGGCGTTTTTTTTGTAGAGGTCCCCACTCGTCGGTGAAAACACTCCAGAAACAAAACCCTGGAATGTGGATGTCAGGCAGGCGGCATTCTGATGTCTCAGAACGTATTGGCAGCACTTTGACAACAGCGAGAAGACGTGCAGGTGGGCCACGGGCCGATCCCAGACCCGAGCACAGCAAGCACGGCGCCCGAAACGGAAAGAAGACGCCGAGCTTTGATCCTCGCTGGCGTTTTTTTCCCCCGGCTTCGGCTTCCGGGGCCCTTCACCGTGCCCCGGGAGCGTAAGAGACTGATCCGGCGGGCCAGGGGAAGCGGTCGGGACCTCTGGCGCCGCGGGTTGGCCAAAGCCGACGTCAGGGGACGCCGCGGGGTTCGTTGCTGGGGCGCCGCGGCGCTCGTTCGCCACCCCTCGCGAGGAACGCCTCGTGGCCTCGTGGTGGGGGCCCACCCAGGCCGCATGGGCACCCCGCCCGGGTGCCACGCATCCTCGGCTCGTCTCCCCGCCGTCGCTTCCCTCGCCTGGGGGAAGCGGGTCCTGAGGAAAACGGGCCCTGGGGCCTTTGGCCGTTCTGGGCTTCCCGGGGCCCTCCACGGGCCCCAGGGCGGTCAGGAAACGATGCGGGATGACAAAGTCGTTTCGGGGGGGAGGCCCCATGATCCTTTTTTGTTGAAGGTCTGGGCGAGAACGACAGTGATCGGCCCTCGCCCTCCGCCCCCCGCCCCGGGTCACGTCGCGTTATTCTGCCCGCTTGTGCAAAAGGAGATACCCCACGGAATGGTCGAGGATGTCCTGAGATGTCTGGCGGCCCCCTGCCGTGATGGGATCGGGGGGGGGGGGGGGGGACCCCCCCCCCCTCCCTCGAGCGCGCCCGTTATCGCGAACAAGAAGACGACAGGCCCCAGAGCAGAGGGAAGCCGCTCCCGCTCGGGGCCCGCACGCTGGGTGGCGGGAGCGTCTTCGGAAGACGCTCCCGCCAAAGCGGCCTTCGCGCAAAGGGCGCCGCGTTGTTTGCCAAAGGGTCGGGCGACCCTTCGAACGACGAAAAAATTGGATGAATGTGTTCTGCATGCCAGTCAGAGGTGAGTCTTCCACGTGCTCTTCGGCCTCTGTGGGGCCCCCTCTGGGGGCCCCGGGGCCGTCCGCGCGGGGCGAAGACTGTCGGCGGCGAGCAGCGGGGGGAAGTGAGAAGGGGCGGGCCTTCTTAGAAGACTCGGAAGTCTCTTCTTGGCCTCGCTCGGACGTGTGCATGTTTCCTTCGGCGAGGACCATCGAGGAGCATCCTTGATCATCTGGCGGAAAAGCCACGCACGAAACCGAACAAAAACAGGGAATGGACGTCCGAGCGATGGCCAGTCTTGGCCTTCTGAGAAGTGTTCTAAACCTTCCCCGAAGACAGAAAAAAAACTTTTCAGTAGGCGGCGCGAGGGCCTCTGAGAAGTCCCGCCGCCTTCTGGGAACGCCTCCTCCTTCTCACTTCCCCCCCTCGCTCGCCGCCGAGGCTGGCCCCAAGGAAGGGATCAGAACCGACCCCCCCCCTCCCGGATCACGCCCGTTATCGCGAGTAAAAAATCAGGCGGTCGCAAACATGGATCAAGGGGGCGTTATCATGGGAAGTCGCGGATTTCCGCCGCCGAACCAGGCGGCACCGGCCGCACTTAGGGGAGGACACCTCCCCCGATCCACGGATTTGGCGACCGCGCGCCAAACCCATGGATCGCTAATCCTTGTTTGCGCGCCCCCGAAAAAAGCAGGCTCCGGGTCCAGGACTAGAGTAGGAGATCGAGTATTGATTTACCCCAGAGCTGTTTTTCTCTTCGAATCTACGAAGAAAACGAAGCAAGCTCGTAGATCTACGAAGCAATCTTCGCATTCATCGTAGCTTCGACTGGGAAATCCATCTGCGGGTGAATCAATTTTGTAGCCGATCCCCTCCTCGAAGGACCCGTTTGCCTCAGGACGCGTTCCCCCCCCATGTTTAGTCGGGCGTGTCCTCCTACAGGTGGGTTTGGGACAGCAGTGTGAGACGATTCAAACACACATTCAGAAATAGCCAAAGATATGCCAAACATCGTCCCCTGATTATTGTTTGGCCAGTTTTGAGCACTCCTCCTGTAGAAGGACAGGCCCGACTGAACCCTATGCTGAGCCTCCCTTCCGGGGCGGCGGTGCCGACGCCGCCCCCGGGGCCTGTGCCCGGTGCCGGGCCCAGCTGCGGGGTGCACGCCGCGGCGCCTCTCCGGTTGTCGCCCCCGTGTCGGTGCCTCTCGGGGGCGGCCAAGAGGGGGGTGATGACCAGGGGGGGTGGAAGTCGATTAGTGGAGAGGAAGCTTGCTGCCAAGTAATTTCCAGATGTCTAAAAGATGTTTCAAACATGCTTCAAATATGCTAAAAACCTGGTAGAACCATGTGTAGAACATGCTTTACACATCTTCAACACATCTTTAATTCAATGATCGGATTATGAAAGTGTCCATTGTCGTGGCATCCACAAGACTACGGTGGGGTGGACATCATAGCGGTAACCGTGAGATCTCCCCAGATTTCATGGCGCCTCCTCTGCTTTCCTGACGTCCGCCGCCCCCCCCCCCCCCCTGGGCCGCGCACGCGCCGCCGGCCACGACCTGTGCCCCCCCCCCCCCCCCTCTTGGGCGCCCCCCGCCTGGCCCCGCTCCCGAGCTTCGGGGCAGCGGGCTCCCGCCGCTCGAGCAAGGAGGTCGGCTGCAGAAGGGGAGTGAAGGCGGGCCGAGGCATACAGTCGGGGCACTGAAGAAGGAACCCTTTTCGTTTGGGAGGGGCTCTGTGTTCCTTAGTTGTTTTGCAGTGTTCCTTGTGTTTTCCTGAGGCTTTCCTTGGGACATCGGAGTTAAACTTATATGAACAAAAGGTGCCCCGTTCCTTATTTAGGGTTCCTTGGGTCAACGCCCCAACTGTATATCACACCGAGGTCGGTTCGGGGAGGGTGCCCTGACGCTCCTCATGCTCGTTGGATGCTCGCGTGCATCCTGGTGGAGGGCACCCTCGGACGCTCTGTTTGGTTCGGCCGAGGGAGGGTCTCGTGTTCTCGAGGGATGGTCTTGTGCCCCAGGTCCGACTGTACTACCCCGAAACTGAGAGTTTCGCCGAATCTGCAAAACATTCGTTGCTAGGTTTGCTGATCTGCGAACAATCGACTTACAGTGGGGGTCGCGCATCAAGAAACCAGATGTTTTTCGTCAGGGTATCCTGGGTTTCTTCGCTCCTCGCGCTGCGCGGTGACTTCCCGCAGCCGTGGAAGGAGCTGCTGCGTTCAGGGTGCTCCAGGTTTCCCCTCAGGTGCACCTCGCGCACGGGTTCTCAGGGCTGGGTTTCTTGCGGCCGCGCCCGCACTGTATTTTGGCTAGGTTCGACGAAACAACCAACTTGAGGGTGCATCAGTTCTGCAGCCGAGCTCCTCCTCGGGAGGTGCCGACCGCCCGCCCCCATTCGGGGCATCGGCCGTGCGTGCTCGGTGGCAGCACTGATGGTAACCGCAGAGGGTCTTTAATGATGCCCCCCCCCCCAAGCTCTCGGCGGGGAGTAGAAACTCGTCCTCCTCCTCCTCCTCCTTCCCCTCCCTCCTCCTCCCTCCTCCTCCTCCTCCTCCTCCTCCTCCTCCTCCTCCTCCTCCTCCTCCTCCTCCACCTCCTCCTCCTCCCCCTCCTCCTCCTCCTCCTCCTCCTCCTCCTCCTCCTCCTCCTCCTCCTTTCGGGTTGCACGTTGCCGACCCAGCGCCCCCACGACGTTTCGCATGGGCAGTGAGCCTGGGTTTGGTACAGTCGGCCCAGATTGGTAGGTCCACCTTGCCAAGTGAAGGGTACCCTTTGTGTCCTGCGTCTCGCGGCCCATGCTTCCTACATTCCTGTGGCCATGTGGCCCCCGGAAGGGTCTTGTGTCCTCTCGCGTGTCCTGTCCAGTCGAGTCCGACTGTAGAGGTGCCAGCTGCCGATCCAGCGCCCCCATGACGTTTCCTGGGGTGCCAGCTGCTGCTCCTCCTCCTCCTTGCTCCTCCTCCTCCTCCTCCTCCTCCTCCTCCTCCTCCTCCTCCTCCTCCTCCTTCTCCTCCCCCTCCTCCTCCTCCTCCTCCTCCTCCTCTTCCTCCTCCTCCTCCTCCTCCTCTGGGTTTGGTAGAGGTACCAGCTGCTGCTGCAGCCGGGCGCCAGAAGCAGTCCCGCCGAGAAGCTGCTTGCGTTTGCCCCCGCGCGCCCGCCCGCGCTCCGCGGCCACCCTGGCGTCGGCCGCGCCGCCCCGATGGGGAACTCTGCTCCGGAGCCGCGTGCAGCGAGATGCCTCCTCTGTCACCGCCCGACCGTCTCCCGCAAAGCTCTTGCAAAGGTCTCGCGGCCTCTGCGGACATCCCGCTCTTCCCCCACCCCTCCACACCCTGGCGCTGTCGGCGCAGGGGTGCCTGCTGCCGCAGGCGCGCTCTTCCCCCACCCCTCCACACCCTGGCGCTGTCGGCGCAGGGGTGCCTGCTGCCACAGCTGCGCTCTTCCCCCACCCCTCCACGCCCTGGCGCTGTCGGCGCAGGGGTGCCTGATGCCGCAGCTGGGCGCCAGAGGCGGTCCCGCTGAGGGGCTGCCTGCGTCGGCCCTCGCACGCACGCCCGCGCTCCGCGGCCGCTTGCGCGTTGGTGAGAGGAGCCCTGCTTCGGAGTCGCGCGTGACGATCTCCCTTCCTCTCTGCGTCGTGCCCCTCCCCCCCGGGGCGCCAGGCTCGCGGTGCCCGCCGGAGCGCCGAGAGGACGGCGGCAGTTTGCGAGGGCCTCCCTCCTGCGATCTAGGGGGAGGGTCAGGGGGAGGGGGGAGGAGGGAGAGCAGGAGAGGGGGATGGGGTGGTCAGAGGAGGGAGAGGGGGTGGGGAGGGAGAGCAGGAGGGAAAGAAAGCAGGAGGAGGAGAGAGAGCAGGAGGAGGAGGAGGGGGCATGGGTGGGAAGGGGAGAGGATCAGACCAGACACACTGACCGCCGCCAGGGGGCGCCCATCGGCGGGGGGAGGCGACCCCAGTGGCGGCGGCGCGCAGGAGCGTTACGCAGGACAGGACGGCGCTCCGGCGTGCCACCAGACAGGATGGTCACCCCTCCCTCCCCGACGGGTGTCTGGCGGCGGTGGTCCCCGTTTCTCCTCTGAGGGGAAGCGCAGGCGGGAGGATGTGTGGGGTTGCAGCTCGGGCTCTGCAAATGCATGCTGCGTGCTTCTACGGGAACGAACCGGGTTCACGGGCGATGCGTAGCTGTCCGCTACGAGTTTGCCCAGGGGTGAGAGCTTGTCTACACCATTGGGCCATTGGGCAACGCCTATGGCACAGGTGCCTAGTCTGTGCGGAGAGAGACGGGGGAGAGAGAAGGGATAACCATGGGGGAGCAGACCTGGAAACCCTGGGCCACGGCGGCCAATAGCCAGCTTACACTGAGGAGAAAAAGAGGACGGGACCTGGCCAGGTCCCAGGCCCTCCTGCAGTGAGTCGCGAGGCAAGGGATTCGATAAGCTCGCCGAGAGCAGCGACACTATCTAGGTGAGGATAAGAAGAGGTGGATTGCCAAGCAAACGATGCCGAGTGACGAAGTGAAGTCCAGTCCCAGTTCAGAGTTCCCTTCTTTTTCTGATATGGCCTGTGTTCTTGGTGCTAATTCTGCAGTTCTACTTGTCCCGCTCATTGCATTGCCGGGTCAAGTGTCAGCGCTGTGAGGTCGCAGTAGGCAACGTTTGCATTGGAAGCAGCAAGGACGATATGTTGCCAATCGCGTGCTCAGTGCCATGAATGCGGCGTACCTGGGCAATATGAAGCAGCAGAGCACACCATGGCAGCATAAGTTCAGTAGCGAGATGTCGACCACCTATGCTGTCGGGCGGGCCTATGCGACTGCAATCCAACACGCAAAGGACCAGCTCCATGTTCGCCGACTGCATCCAGTGACAGGCGTACATGCGACGTGCGAGCTGCTCAACTTGGGCCAGATAGGCTACCGGAGAGTGCGCAGACGCGATATCCACACGGAGTTCGCGGCTGATCGAGTGGACGAGGTGGCGACAGTGGAGGAGGTCCCGCCGCTCAGCGCGCTGCCTCCAGATGAGGCGGAGTGCTCGAGCAAGGAGGAAAGCGTCGTCGAGTTATCGGGCAGGTCCGCGCAGCAAGTTTCAGGAGTTGAAGAGACAGTTTTTTGGTCGGGGGTCAGATGGAGCAGTGGATTAAGTATCTACATCGGGCTGATCTTCCTCATGGGTCGTGGGTGTTCAAGCCTCAGATGCGAGGTCAAAACTGTCGGCGGGGTCTCAGCACCGCTGAAAAAGGACGGCTACAAGTTATGGGCATTCATAATGGCAGTGCCGACCAACTTCTTGTGGAGTGATGTTCGCCGTCGGGGTGGTCGCGGATTGGGCGGAGGAGGTGCGCTGGCGTTGATGCGAGCGCCGGGCATGGAGCTCCAAGTGGCGAGGTGCGACGAGAGCAACGCGTCTCTTCGGTTTCGCTTCTGGAATGGATGTGGAAGTGGATGGCTACTCCCGCGATTCCAGCGGCGGCCGCGTGGTCTCTGATCCCTGGGGCCGCGAGGGCCTCGCTGCAGCAGTGGTCCCTGGTGTGCCCGTGATTCGCCCGGCCGCCAGGTTGCCGATGGGCCTCGTGCTGTCGACGTCCTGATGCGGGCATGGCGCCGGCGTGGTCGGCGACGCCGCGGGGGCCCCGGCGCGTCGGCAGATGGAGTTGGCCGAGGTGGCCGTCGTGGAGGGCGTCGAGCGGGAGAAGGAGCAGGCCAGATGTCGGGCTGAGTGAGCGTCGGCAGGGGGCCGGACTCGCCCTCGGAGTTCCTCGCGAAGCTCCGCCTCTTGCGGCAGGAGCGCCATCGGGCGATCGCCGCGCTGCGCGCGCTCGCAGGCGGGCGGGGGAAGCTGGAGGTCCAACGCTGCGCGGAGAGAAGTTCGCGGACGAGCGCGGGGCGCCGCTATCGACCGTCGACGGGGCCTCGCAGGCCCCCCGCTGGGCGCGACGCTGCTCGAGATGATCGAGGAAGGCTCGATGGGCGCTGCCATGGGCGCCCCGCCCCGCGCCGCGCGGGGCGGGGCCCGCCCCCGCGCGGGAGGCCCGAGGCCGCTTCGGTTTCGGAGGGGGCCCCGTCGGAAGGAGCGACCCGGACGCCGGCGGGGCGCGAGCGGATCGCGCAGGCGAGCGCCATTTTTGTTCAACTTCCTCCTCCTCCTCCTCCTCCTCTTCTTCGTCCTCCTCCTCCTCCTTTTCCTCGTCCTCCTCTTCGTCCTCCTCCTCCCCTTTCCTCTTCTTCCTCGTCCTCCTCCTCCTCCCCCTCCTCCCTCCTCCTCCTCCGAGCACCCGGCGGGCCCGGAGGAGGGGCCCCGCCCGGGCACTTGGGGCCTGGAGGCGGCGAAGGGCACGCTGCTCAGGCACGGCGCGACCATCGCCCAGATCGACCCGTGCACGCACGGGGGCCCGTCGAGGAAGCCGACTGCGTCGGCCTCGGCCCTCGACGGTCTGGGCGACCAGGCGCCGCCGTGCGACGGCAGACACTGGCGCGAGAAGGCTCGCGGTGAGAACGAGCGCGGCGTCTTCAGGTCTCGGGGGTCGCAGGCTTTCCCTCCTGGCTCGCGCCGCATGATCGCCCCGAGCGCGGCGCGGGCGGCGCCGCGCACGCCGGGCGCTGGGCGCGGGCCTGGAGGGCGGCCGAGGACGGGGCGCGGAATGCCGCGACATGCGCAGTGTAGCCAGGAGGAGGAGATGGAGGGCCTCTTCGTGCTGAACGAGCTCTACCGCCAGGGAGGCAGCGCGAAGCTGCGCCGAGTATGTCAGGCGATCCACTTGCGCGAGGACGACGGGTCCATCGGCCCATCGCGGCGGGTTGCCCCAGGGGGGGAGCGGCTCGAGAAGAGAGCGAGGTGGCGATGCAGAAGGTCGCCGACTCCTGGGAGCAGGCCCGATTCACGGCCAACGGACGCGAGAAGATCGAAGAGGGCTCGGAGATCGCGGGCCACGAGTTGCAGAAATTTCCGCCTCGGCTGAAGCTGGCCAGGCTGGTTTTCTGGACGCCGACGCCGATCGTGGAGGCGCCCCGGGCGGGCGCGGAGTTGCCCAGGGCCGCGGTGGGCGCGCGGCTGCGGGGCGCTCTGCCGCGCCGCGAGCTCGCGGCCATTCCTGCCTCAGTCTTCCACTTGCCGGAGAAGAAGCAGGGGCCGGGCGGCGCGACGGCGGGCCTCGGCCCGCCGAGAGGTGCGCGCGACGAGGGGGCATGTTTCCCATGCTGTCCTGCCCCCTCGCCCCGCCTTCCCCGCCGCGCCCGTGCTCTTCGCGCCCGGCGCGGAGGGCGCCGACCGAGTGGACCGCGGCGGACGCGGCGTCGTCGGGGCGACCATCGCCGCGGACGAGGCGGAGGTGGTCATCGGGGCAGGGGCGAGGCCAGGGCACGCGGCGCCCGGGCTGGGCGGCTCGGCCCCCCACCTGAACCGCGCGGGCAAGGGGCCGCGGGGCCGCGCGGCCGCGTTCCAGTCTCGCGCACCCCGCGCGAGTCGCTCGCCAGATCACATCATGTTGGGCGAGGGCCGCGCCGCGGCCCGACTGCGTCAGGGCCTGTCTCTTGTTCCAGGAGCTCCTGGCCGCGCTATCTGCAGCGGGGGGGGACCACGAGCCTGCGGCATCAGCAGCGGATCATCAGCTCCCCATCTGAACTACCCGCCGAGGAGTATCAATACACTTTCAGCGGCGACAGGCATCAAGCTATACGCATCGTGGGTGGACACCGCACATCAGCAGCTGAGGGGTTGTCTAGGAAGCGGCAGCGCGGCTTGTTGCGCTCGTCGGACGGGGCCGCGGCGAGTCGATCCTGAAACCACAGCTGAGGAGGGTCAGGAGAAGCGAATCGAGGATGAGAAGGGGAAATTCCCAATTCCGCTTGGAGTAGGTCCAGGGGGAGCCGAGGGGCTCCAGCTGGACTCGGCCGTCCCGCGGGCGACGCGATTTTCCAGCCTTCTCCTCTTCGTCTTGCGCAGGCCTCGGGACCCACGGGCGGAGGCGTCAGACTCTGCTCCTCCCTCTTCCTCCTCCTCCTCCTCCTCCTCCTCCTCCTCCTCCTCCTTCTCCTCCTCCTCCTCCCCCCCCTCCCCCTCCCCCTTCTCCTTCTCCTCCTCCTCCTCCTTCTCCTCCTCATCATCCTTCTCCTCCTCCCCTTCCTCCTCCGCCTCCTCCTCCTCCTGAGCAAGATGATGATGATGATGATGCTGCTGATGATGATGGTGATGGTGATGGTGATGGTGATGGTGATGGTGATGGTGATGATGATGATGATGATGATGATGATGATGATGATGATGGATGATGTGATGGTGGGGGTGGTCGTGGTGGCGATGATGATGATGATGCTGATGCTGATGATGATGCTGCTGCTGCTGATGATGATGATGGTGATGCTGATGGTGATGATGACGGTGACGGTGACGATGATGATGATGATGATGATGATGATGATGCTGATGGTGATGATGATGATGATGATGATGATGATGATGATATGATCATACTGATGATATGATGATACTGATGATGATGATGATGCTGATGCTGATGATGCTGATGATGCTGATGATGCTGCTGCTGCTGCTGATGATGATGATGATGCTGATGATGATTGATGATGATGATGATGATGATGATGATGATGATGATCATGATGGTGATGATGGTGATGATGATGATGATGATGATGATGATGATGATGATGATGATGATGATGATGATGATGATGATGATGATGATGATGATGATGATGATGATGATGATGATGATGATGATGATTGATGATGATGATGATGATGATGATGGATGATGATGTGGTGGTGGTGGTGATGATGATGATCAGGAGGAGGAGGAGGAGGAGGAGGAGGAGGAGAAGGAGGAGGGGGGGCAGGAGGAGGAGGAGGAGGAGGAGGAGGAGGAGGAGGAGCCTCCCCCTCCAGACCGCCAGGACGGCGCAGGGTTGGCCCGGTGGCCGCGCCCCGTGGCCACGCCCGGCCCACGCCGCGCGCGAGAGGCGAACCTGCGCTGGGAGGCTGCGGGCTACGGCTTCGCTGGCCCGCCTGGCGCCGTGGCGCCGCGCGGCAGGGTCGGCTTCGGCGGGGCGGAGGTTCAGAGGAGGAAAAGGTACCCATACCTCTCAACCCTTCCTTAGTTTTCCCCTTTTTGGGCCTCCTGGGAGGCCCTCGTCGCCACCGCTGAATTCGCCTCGAGATCCTGGTCAGAACACACCCCGGGAGAGGCCCGCGGAGTAGCGGTATCTGTACCTTTTGGCTTCCCCAGAGGTTATCTCCGGAAGAGCTGGCAGAGTGCACGGAACCCCTTTTTCATTCAAGTGGCTGACGCCATTCCGCCGAGCCCAAGAAGGAGCGAGAGTTTGCGACGATCGTGGAGGGCATGCAGTGGAGGGCATGCAGTGGCTCAGGAGCCTCCCTGATGCATCTACAAGGGGCTTTGGGAAACTTCTCGGGGGCATCTTGGATGGTTTTGTGGGGCATCTGGGGGTCTCTGGGGGGGTTCTTGGGTGCCTCTGGGGGGGCCTTTCCGGGCTGGGTCTTGGGGGCCCCTTGGAGGCCTCATTTGGCAGTCTTGGGGCGATCTCAGGAGCTCAAAGCCCCTATCCATTTTTTGAATCGGGTTTCGGACTTGGTGGGAGGAGGGAAGGGGGGGAGAGGGACAGCTGAATATCTCGAACTCCTGCTCCGCCCCGGCGAACAGGGGATCGGCGGATGCAGGTGTTGGGATACAGTGGGGGCCCATGCCCAGAGAGACACCCTGTTTGCCTCCAGGGTGCCCTGGGTTTCTTGGGTTTCGATGGTTATGCTATAGACAGCGTGACGCTCCCACCCCAAAAATCGATGGACGTCCTGGGGTCTCAGGGTTGGGTTTCTTGTGGAAGGTTTCTTGTGGTCGAGCCCCTCCTGTATGCCGCCGCCAACTGTGGCTGGTGGGACGGAGGCTTCTTGGATGCCCGTGTGTTCTTGTTATGGAAGCGTCCGGGGCGCCTCTGGGGAGCATGTTGGAGTGTGTTGGAATGCTTCCCAGCAGCATCTTGGAGCGTTTGTCGAGGCATCTGGGGGCCTTTGGGAGCCTCTTGGGGGCCTCGTGGAGGGCTTCTAGGGCCTCTGGGGGCCGCCTCAGGGGCCTCTCAGGGGCTCTTGGGGCCATCTTGGGGGGAAGGACTCGCAATGTCGGCTCGTCTTTTCCTTCTTGGGCCTCTCTTGGGGTTCTCTTGGCCCGTCCTGGGAGCCCCTTAGGCCGTCGTCGGCGTCTGTCGGGGCTGTCTTGCGCCGTCTTTGGAGCCCCTGGGGCCGTCTTGGAGCTCTATTGGGCCGTGTTGAGGCGGACTTGGGACGATCTTGAGGAGTCCTTGCGCGATCTTGGACGCTCTGAGGACTCAAAAGACGAGCATGTCAAAGTACACGCTTTCCGAAGGAAGTGAAACGATTTTCGCATCTTGGGGCCTTCTCGGCGGTCCTCTGGGAGCAGTCTTGGGCTGCTTTGGGCCCGTCGTGGGCTGTCGCGAAGCCAGCTTGGATCGCCGTGGGGCCACCTGAGGCCATGTCGACGCTTTCTTGGACAGTCTTGGCGACGCGTCTTCGGGCTTTGGAGAAGCTCTGGGGCCCCCAGGGGATGCGTTTAGGAGCTCGTACCCCCAAGCCCCCCCCCTCAATCGGCATTTTGGACCGCAGGGGAGGGGGAAAGGGGGAGGGGGACAGCCAATCATCTCACACGCCTTGTCACCCCCGGCATGCGGGGGTCGGCGGATCACCTGGCGAGAACGGGCGAGGCACCGATGCCGCTACCCTTCACCCGTTTTCCTCTTGCTCGGTCTCCTGGGAGGCCCTCGTCGCCACTGCTGGATTCGCTTCAGAGTCTTGGTCAGAATTCACCCCGGGAGAGGTCCAGGGAGGTACTTTTTGGTTTCCCGGTGACAGGGGGACGGGGGAGGGGGCCGGCACATGGAAGCTGGAAAAAGTGATTGGGGTCAGCCCTTTCTTTCCAGCCCTGGCCAGTTTCCTTTTATTTTTCCAGCCCTGGCGACAGCATCCCTCTGTTCGGGCTCGCTCCACCCACTGCCAGTGTTTCCAGCCCTGGCCTCTTCCACTTTCACTGATTTTCCATTTTCCACGTCTGTCCAGCTTCCCTGTGACGTCACGATTCGCGCTGGTGCCGTCTTAGGATGCTCAGGAACGGCTAATTCCCAGACGGCGCCGCCGCGAATCGTGGCGTGAGCAGGGGGGAAGGGGGGGGCGGCGGGGCTGGTAACGGGCGCTGTCCGCGAAGAATGATAAAGTGCTCGCAGACGACGGCGGTCTCACGTACGCGCATATTTCTTGGGCATCTGCGCTTGGCTCCCCTGGCAGCGCCTCGGGCGCCGCCCCTGGCGCGCTTCGCGCGCTGGGCAAGGGGGTCTAGCGCCGACCCCCCGCAATCCGCGCAGACTTCTGAGAGTCCAGGGTTCTGCCGCTTTCTGCTCTTCTGGTCGTGGCAAGGCCTGGGGGACGGGCTGCGCACCGACGGCCCCGTTGAGGCAGCCCAGGCTGATCCCAGCAGGCCCCAGGGCAGTCACCAGGTAGAGAAGGGGGTCCTCAGGGAAAGGGGTCCTGAGGTGTTTGACTGTTAGTCTGGCTCAAACCACGAGCGGGCCCCCGCTTCGGGGTCTCCCGCACTGCCCAGCAGGCCTTGGCGTCCCACCTAGCCCGCTGGGAACGGATGGAGGCGGAGGGCTGGCACCTGGTTGGGTACGCCACCCCAGGAGAGGTGGAAGATCGAGGGGGGTGCGGGGGAAGGCTCGGTGTGGGATACCAGTCTCTTCCCAGCAATGTGCACAGCCTGGGGGCTACCGTGCATTACCAGCGACCTGGCAGAAATGAGTTTTCACAAGACACCATCGATCTTCCAAGGGATCCTGGGGCCAACGTTCCTGGCCACTTGGATGCTGGGCCTCAGGAGGAGGGCTTCCTAGTGCGCGACCACGACGGACACGAAACCTAGCGAGGCAGCGCACCTGGACTGGAGCATCCCGCGCGCGGGAAGCCCCCAGCCAGACACTGGGGGCAGTGAGCGAATCGGGACTCCACGTTCCCAGTCCGAGCACAGGGACAGTCCAGGCATTGAGCACCCCGAGCCTCCTCATACCCCCAGGCCCCCCCCCTTTTGGGAACCCCACCAGCTGGCTTCCCTGCACCACCGCGTTCCCCGCCCCGGGTTCGCTGCTGGTTGCAGGGAGGTCGCGGAACTATTTCACGATTTCTTGCCACGGTAACTGGCGCGCCTCAGCTATGCGCGACGGGGGGAAAAGGAGGGTGCGGAGTGCAGCGCGTGCCTTCCTGAAGATGGATTGCCGACCTGGACGAAAGAACGCGCGTTCGACCCAGACCTGACCCTGCTAATTACCCACAGCGGCGAGCTCAGACCGAGAGCGGGCACCTGCGCGCGGCGAGAAGGAAGCGACAGGACCTCGAACGCGACGGCACATAGAGCCGACGCTAGCCCCTCTCTGACATCAGAACAGGGCCCTGGCACCGAGCAGCCCTCTCGGACTGAGGGTGCCATCGGGGCCAGCCATCGGGCCATGCCGCGACGCCCCCAGCACGACCCCACGGGCAAGCCAGGGATTGTGCACCCCGAGCCCCCTACTGGCCCCCTGGGACCCCCCCCCCTTCGTGAACCCCAGCCCACCCTCCTTGCGCCGCCGCGTTCCCCGCCCCGGGCTCGCTGCTGGTCGCAGAGAGACCGCGGCATCATGTCACAGTTTCCTGCCACGGTTCGTGCCCCGCCTCAGCTACGCGCGACGCAGGGGGAATGGGCGGGAGAAGGCAGCGACTATCTCCTGAGCCCGGAAAGGACGGACCCGTGACGGACGGACCAGGCGAAGGAACGGGCCCCGAACCCAGACTTGCCATTGATGCTGACTGCGGCGAACCTAGACGGAACTTCGGCGCGACCCACTCCCTCGACGCACAGCGGCCCCGCGCCTGGAGACGCCGCGCGGAAAGGAGGGGGGCGGCCCACCGCGCTCCGCGACGCCCCCGCCTCGGGAAAACGCAGAGAATGTGTCGCAGTTTCCCGCCGCGGCTAGTGGTTCCCAGAGAGACATAGACACGCGCGGACATCCTCCCGCGCCATCCCCGCCCGGGGACGGCGAGGGAACGCATCCACCAGAAGCAGGCGATGTGTGTGACCCGCTCAGATGCGAGCCGACTCGGCCCCAGGACGCGGCAGCCCGCCTCAGGGGCGACGACTGCGCCCAACCCCTCGACGGTGGCGCGGAGAGGAGCCCACGCGGAGGCGCGGATGATCGCCCCCCCGGGGCAGAAGGACAGGCCTCTACGGGGGCCCAGTCATATCCCGTCAGCCAGCTTGCCCGGGACACTCTCAGTCCAGCACCGAGCCAGGGGCGGCCTCTGTCCCCCAGGTGATGCTGCCGCGGGACAAAACCCTTGCATCCCCGAGCCACAGGGCGGCTCGGGGCCGCAGGAGCTCGGCAGCCTCCCGCGCGGGACCACAACCAGCACAGTCAGCGGTGCTGCCAGAAGCACCAATCCAGTGGCAGACCGCGCACTTGTTGACGCGCCCAGCGGAGGAGAATCAGGCGAGCCCTTCACCCTGGACCGCGCGAGTGAGCTGCGCCCCTCCGAGGGGGCCTGTCACCAGCCAGCCTGGGACGACCGACCTAGCGGGCGCAAGGGTCAGATCGCGACCGACGCCGATCAAGCGGACCGGATCGATCCCCCCCACTCCGCCTCGATCGAATTGCCCGATCTGCCTGGCGAGTCCCGAAGAACAGGACCAGGCGATAGCCGAACCACGGCTCGCGCCGACCATGTCCCTCCCCTGCCCTGCCCGTGGCCACTGCCCCAGGCACCTAGACACTTCTTGCAGGCTGGGCCGCATAGGAACCGAAACAAGGACCGCGGGCGCGGCCACGGAGCCTCCACTACGCAGCGCTGCGAGCCGCAGTGGAAACGGACATTGACAATGACGCCGACAATGAGCCTTGGGCTAGAGAGCGAAGCCTCGCCAGCATGCAGCTCCAAGCCGCCGCGCGCACCGCCGCGCGATGTAACTTTGGAGCCAGGCCACTTCCCAACGGGGACTGCGATCTTAGACCCACCATGCAGGCAGGCGGAGCCCGCGCCGCCCCGCGCGATGAGCGAGCAACCGCTGCCATCGCCAGGACGATGCTTCAAGATGGCGAGGAGGGGCGCGCCAGCTTCCTTGATCCAGCAACTCTCTTGAGATGGGCGCAAGACCAAGCGGGAGGGGCCCCCGGCGCTCCGCCAGGCCAATTCCCGCAGGACCAGCCTGGGCCCGCCGCAGCTGCCGCGAGGTTCTCGACAGAAGGCGGGCCGGCCAGCTCGGAAAGCGGCGGTCCAGACTCCCCGTGGCCAGCAAGGTCCAACTCCCAGTGGCCCTAAGAGGGAGCTACTTCAGCCCCCATCCAAGGTGCCGCGGCTGCGGCGCGCGGGCCGCAATGGAGCCCGCCCCCGGCGCGTGCACGGCGCGCCTCCGTCTCCGTCACCCTCTCGGAGATGGAGAAGGAAGGCCCCGAGCAAGACCGCGACGGACAATCTGGAGACACCTGCTTCGGCGACGATTCCCCGCGCGGACTCAGGGCCCCGGCGCGCGACCACTGGGCGACTAAGCCTCCAACGCAAGACGAACGCCGCCTGTCGACGCGCCCCCGGCGCCCATCTCATCCACGCCTGTCCAGGCCCAATGGGCCGCGCCGTCACCTGGCTCGTTGCTGAGCTGCCACGCGCCTGGACGGCCCCCGTTTTCCCTCCTTCCTCCCGCCATCGGTCGTGACCAACATTCCTCTCGATTCCTGGTTGTTCTTGCCCTCTGCTTCCCAATCCCTCCGCCAAGTTTCGTTCCTCCTTTCCCGCCCTCCTCCCTCGGGATCTTGCGATCGCCCTCTCCAGCCTCCTCTCCCCTCCTCATCCAATTCCCGCATCTGCAGCAAGTGGTGGCTCAAGCCTCTGGGCCATACCTAGTTGGGGGCGCGGGTGGCGTGCGAGACCTCGTCGGAGGCATGCCCATCACGCGGTGCTCCAATCCCGCCAGCCTATGGCAGGTGGCGCCCCGCATCGCGGCGTTCAGTCGCCTCTTCGCCCGCGGCGGAATGCCGTGCACCGACGCGTCGGTGAAGCATGCGGACCCTTTCGCAACTATGAAGGCGAAGATGCGGACGAGGACCTTCGAGGCTACCACGACAGAAGTGGAGTCCAGCACGGTGGAAGCAGGGCTGCTGACCATCCTCTCGGAGTTCAATATCAATTCGGAAGATGGCGACGTCTGCGCAACGGAGCAGGCTGAAGTGTTTGTCATGTTCCAAAAGACAGCAAGAGCCACCTGACGATGCCGCTCCCTTTTCAGATTGCAGCCGCGATGGAGTTTCTCGGGCCGCGACAGTTCTACAAGGCGATGCTGGGCCAGCGTAAGACCGATTTGCCCGATCGAACGATCGAACGACTTGTTTCTGTTGTTGGCGCGGCCACCTGGCCATGAGGAACGGTTGGGTCTTCAGTCTCGCCCGCCCCACTTGCCCCGTTCGCCCAATTCGCCCAGGCACTCGCCCCGCGCTCTACCCGCCCAAGTGGGGCAAGTGGGGCGAGCGGGGGAGGTCGGGCAAGAGGGTGCGCGTGCAGCAAGTGGGGCAGGCAAGCGGGCAAGTGGGTAGCTTGCAAGTCGCGGTGCGATATGTGCATGCGCTGCGTATTTGTGTACATATTTGTGCAAGGCGTATATCGATGCGTGTCCAGTGAACTTTCGACCCGCCGATTGGTATATTCGTGGGGACCAGCGCGGATGTCCCCGTCTGTGTCCACTTGCGAGTTGAATCGTGGGTCCACATTAATGGCGACGTTAACCGCCCCCCCACCCCCCCTCGGAGCAAACAAGCACGCCCTCATCACCCGAAGGGCGGTCTATGAAATATGGTGTTGCGCTGCACCAGATGGTGAGAAAAAAAAGGCCGCGGTTTGAAGGAGGCAGGCCAAGGCTGGGGGGTTGACGTGGCGCAGGTGGGCGCGGCCCTGGACCAGGCAGGGGATGGCAATCTGAGAGGGGGCAGGCCACGGGCTGGGGGGGTGGACGGACGACCACAAACGAGCAAACGAAAATGAAGAGGTCCGAGCTCCAGGACACAGTTGCAAGAGAAAGGGTCGGGGGGCAATGGGGTCCCTGGGCCAGAGGGGGAGACAGGCCTGGGGAAACAGATGAGCGTGGTCCTGGACCAGGGGGCATCGGGTCACGGCCGGGGCCGGGGGGGGAGGGGGGGAGGGCGACGACGAACGACCGCGCGCGAGGTCGGGGGCACGGGGTGTGGCCCAGGAGGGAAGTGGGGACCAGGGGGGAAGGACGGTGAGAGGGCCACGGCCTGAGGGGTGACAGGTTTGTGGGGACGTGGGGCGGGGGCGAGGACGAACGATCGAACGACAATAGAGGGCAATGGGCACTGGGATGCACGCCCAGCCCAAAAGGGAAGGGGGTGGGGATGGGGGGGGGGCAGGGGAACGGAAGGGGAGGTGGTGGAGTGACGAGCGGCCGCGGACGGGCGAACGAGCAAGTATTTAAAGGGTCGGAGGGCACCGGGGGGGATGCCCAGGCCAGAGGAAGTTGGTGCGTGCACGGGGGCGCAGGGGGCATGGCCCTGGACCAGGGGTGACAAAGCCTCGACCAACGGGGAGGGGGGAGGTGCGGGCCAGGGCCAGGGAGGGGAGGGGGGGGGTCGAGGACGAACGACCACGAACGAACGAACGAACGAGCGAAACCACAGGGTCGGGGGGTGGCGACGGGGGGCAAGTGTGCGTGGCCCTGTGTCAGGGGGGGCAATGTTTAATAGAATGGGGGCAAAACAGGGGCAGGGGTGGAGGGGGGAGAAAACGAACGACCACGAACGATCGAACGAGATGACAGGGTCGGGGGCATTTGGATGGTGTGAGGGGGGGGCAAGCCAGAGGGATTGGGATGAGGAGGGGGGGCAGTTGGGTGCGGGGCGAAAACGAACGACCTCGAACGAATGATCGAACGGAATCAGAAGGTCGGGGGGGGGCAAAGGGGGTGGCCTATGCCAGGGGGGGAGGGGGCTGGGGACGGGGGGGGGCAGGTAGGTGTGGCCTTGGACAGGAAGGCAGCGAACGAACGAACGAGCGACAATAATGGGTCGGGTGGGCAGGGGGGGGGGGCTAGGCCAGAGGGAGGAGGGTGAGGACAGGGGGCAGGTGGGCGTTGCCCTGGACCACGAGGGAGAGGGCCACGGCCTGGGGGGAGCAGACCAGGGCCGGGGGGGGGAAACCGAAAGTGGGCCAGGACGACGGACCACGAACGAACGAACGACACCACGTGGCGCGCATGCTTCGGCTCTCGCACAAGGGGGAGGGGGGGGGGAGGGCCAGGTGAGGCGGGGCGAGGGAAGGGTTCTTGAGGCTATCCTGGAGGAGTTCAGCTGGGGCCATTCTGACCGTCATGAGGTGGCAATGGCAGGGGGCCCCGTCAGGGCAACGGGCGAACGAACAAACGACGACGATTACGATGAAGGGTTCCGAGCTCTGGAACACAGCTGCGCAAGAGAGGAACGGTTTAACGACGAAATAAAGGGCCTCGCGGCCCAGGGGGTACTGCCCTGGGAGGCCAAGGACACCAGATGAGGCGGCGCCGAGCCCAGGGAAGACACCAGGGAGGAGGGGCGAGGCCATGCCAGGGCACAGTCAGGGTGGGGTTTGGGGTCCAGAAGAGGAGCACGAATGACGACGAACGGCGAGCAAAAATAGAAGGGCTCCGCGGCCCAGGGGGTGCTGCTCTGGGAGGCTGGGTCCAGGGCGGCTACCCTGGAAGCTGAGTGGGATGCCTGATGGGACAGCGCAGAGCCCAGGGAGGGAAGCCAGGCCAGGGGGAGGCCAGGGGGGTGGGGTTGGGAAGTCAGGGGGAGGCCAGGGGAGGAGCACGATCGACGACGAACGACGAAAATAAACGGTTCCGCGGCCCACGGGGGCTGCCATGGGAGGCGCAGGGGAGGCCAGATAGGGGGGGCGGCGCAAAGCTCATGGAAACCAGGCGGGGGGGGGGGGGGGGGGAGTCAGGGGGAGGCCAGGGGAGGAGGACGAATCGCAACAAGCGACGAAGGCACAGGGCTCCGCGGCCGAGGGAGACTGCCCTGGGAGGCTAAGGGGAAGCCAAATGGAGCAGCGCAGAGCCCAGGGAAGCCAGGCCAGGGGACGGCCGGGGGGGGAAGAAGTCAGGGTGAGGCCAGGGGAGGAAGACGAACGACGACGAGCGACGGAAGTAAAGCGTTCCGCGGCCCAGGGGGGCTTCAAAGGGGAGGCCTGATGAGGTGGCGCACCGAAGCCATGCCAGGGGGGGGGACGGCCAGGGGTAGGCCAGGCGAGGAGGACGAACGGCGACGACGAACAAGAGGTCGGAGCTGTAGAACACAGCTGCGCAGGATAAATGAACTCTGGATGAAAAGCTGGTCCTGGCGGGGAAATCCCCAGGGTCCAGGACCCGTTTCCCTCAGGACCCCTTCGCTTTTCGCCCAGGCAGGCCAAGACGGTCTCGCACCCCCCTCTCGCGCCGCATCCGGCGGCGTCCCGGGGCCGTGGGGTGTTGAGGCCGCCCTGCCTTAGGGGAGGGGGGGCCTGCTGAGGACAGCTGGAGACTGCCCCCCCGGGGGCCGTCATGCGCGCAGCTCCACGCCTTGCCGGATCGCCGTCTCGGGGGCTGCTGCCGAGGACGGAGAGAGCTCGCAGGATCTTCTTAGCTGCCCTGGGACGCCCGTTCTGAAACGCAGCATGCGCCGTGTTCAGAACTCGGGAGGAAAAGAACATACACAGACGCAATGAGTCGTCGATTCCCCAGAACATATTTATTGTGTGTGCGTGTCCCAGAACAATGAATCGTCGATCACCCAGAACAATTAGTCGTCGATTCCCCGGACACAATGAATCGTCGATTCCCCAGAACACATGTATTGTGTGTCCCAGGGCCCCTTTCGAAAACGTCCGTGTGTGAACACGCTGCGGGTCGGCCGGGCGCGCGCTGGCCCGCTCGCTTTCGCGAACGTGCCGCGCCAGACCTACACATGGTTCATTTCTAAGTATCCGAGAGTTCTTGATTTTGGGGGGGGTCTAGTAAATCCTTTCATTTCTAATTGTTCGAAAGTTTTTGGGGGGCCAAGATCCTTTCATTTCTAATTGTCCTATCCTGGGCCTCTTCCTGGCCACTAGGGGGCCAGGAACAATTCGAAACGAGCGCAATCAGAAAGGAGCACAACCAGAGATGAACGACGTGCGCGCTTCCAGTCTGAGTGCTGCGGTCCCTCCCGACACGCTATACGTGCTGCGCGCCGCGTCTCGGGGCGCAGACGCGCAGGACGAGACGAGCTCGGACACCGAGGACGGCTCGGACGACCCCGCCGCGGCGGTGGACCTGGAGGAGGCCCGCAGGCAGCGCCGCCGGGAGCAGGCCGTGTGGCAGGCCATCCGGCACCTGCTGTCCGGGCAGCCGCGCGGCCTGCCGCTCGGAGAGCTGCCCGGCCTGCTGGAGTCGGTGCTCGGCACGATCGAAAGTCGGAGGCGGCCGAGAGCACAGTCGGGGCCTTGAAGAAGGAACGCTTTTCGTTGGGGAGGGGCTCGGTGTTCCTTGATTGTTTCACAGCTTGCCTCAGGTTTTCCTTAGGTTCTCGAAGGGAAACCGAAGTTCAACTTCTGGAGGAAAGGGGCTTCGTTCCTTACTTAGGGTTCCTTAGGTCAACGCCCCGACTGTAGGGAAACGAACAATGACATAAACATAGATTTTCGGAGGTCCGCGCTGATTTCTCGGATCGGCGCTGGGCCCCTCTCCCTGGCGCGCGGAGCGCGCCAGGGGCGGCGCCGGAGGCGCCGCCAGGGCGGTTCCAGCGCCGATCTGAGAAATCTGCGCGGAACTCCGGGTTTGTATGTTCATGTCATTGTTCGTCCCCCCAGAGAGGGGGGTGATGACTAGGGGGCGGTGGATATCATGGCGGGGTCCATGATGTCTCCCCAGATTTCATGGCGCCTCTTCTCGTTTCAATGCGTCCTCGGTCCCTCCCCCCTGGGCAGCGCACATGCCGCCGGCAATGATTTGCGCCCCCCCCTCTTGGAGGCCCCCCTCTTGGACGCCTCCGAGAAATCGTCTAGGCCTCTGAGATGGGGTCCGAGCAGGTGGTGTCGGAGGATGGCGTTGTATCGCCGCTGTATCGGCGATGCGGCTCGATGTGGAGCCCGATTTCCTCCACGCTGGCGTCGCCGCCGATGCATCGGCGATGAGGCGCGATCCTCCGACCCCATCTGCTCGGACCCCACCTAGGAGGCTCTAAAAAGATACGGAAACAATGGTCGAGAAGACCGAAAGCAGTTCCTTCTCAGTTTGAACACGACTCGCTGTTGGCGTCGCCGCGGGCGTTGCCCATGTGAGACAGAAGGCCGTCTGCCCAGCAGCGGCCGCTATCTGTTTCGGGCAATATTTGTTCTTGGGCATCTTACCCTTTTTTGTCCGTATCTATTGAGGGCGTCCAAAGGTGAACGTCCAGAACTTCTCGCCCGAGAGGCGCGGCTAGTCGAACCTCGGGGGAATTGCCGTTTTGCCTCCCACATCTGGAGCTGCATCGGCCCCTCCAGCATAGGTATGTCCCCCCCCCACGGGGGTCTTTGCTTCCGGACGAGTCCCGCAGGGAGCTCGGAGATTGTTTTTTTCATCTCTGGCGCGTGCGGACCCGGACCAAACTAGGGGAGCAAAAAGTGACATAAACATAAAAATTCGGAGGTCCGCGCGGATTTCTCGGATCGGCGCTCTTTCGGAGGGCCAACCTGCCACCTGCGGGCTCTTTCGGCGGCCGTTTTTGGAAAGTTGCGATGCCATGCTGTCACGGACCGTCGTCCGCATTGGCGCGGCATTGCGAGCAGCGTTGCACATACAGCATGCAGTGGCGCCGGCTTGAACCTGCGTGTGCTCCCGCTGCCCGTGCGCCAACTCGCTGTGGCCACTTTTTCTGTCACCGCGAAGCGAGTTGAATTTGACCGAGTCGTGTGGGGAGGGATTGATCAAGGACTCAGCCGGTATAGACGATGGAAGAAGGATGGAGATCGCCACAAGGGAAGCGGGTTCTGAGGGAAATGGGCCTTGCATTTTTTCACTGTTTCTGGTTCCCCGGGATTGTCAGGACGCGACTCAGGATGAGGCACTGGTCCTGGGGGAAGTCACCGCCCACCAAACCACCCAAATTCAATTCGAAGACCCCGATTTGCCCTCCATTTCCACTGGGGTGGGGTCGGGGAACATTGAAAAAACAAATGAAGCCCGCAGCCCCCCCCCAACCCGAAATTCGGGTCGTCGGGTTGGGTTGGGGTGGTCTGGCAGGCAGTCAGGAGGGCCCCAGGACCCGCAGACGCGCACCCCGCTCCCGAGCTCCAGGTTGGGGAGGGGGTGAAGGGCCAGGAGCTCCGCGCAGTCTTTAGCGGGCGCGCCCGCAGTTGAAATGTTCTCCGCCTCCGCCTGCGCCTCCCCTTCGAGGCCGGACGAGAGGGGGGAGGGCTGGGAACGCTCGGGGCCCCCGAGCGGTGCGCCGCGCCGCGTGGTGAGTCAGCGGGGATTCGGGGTCGCCGCGCGGTCTCGGGGCTTTCTCCGAGGACGCCTGGGGCGACTGCGACCTCCAGAGTCTCAACACCGTGCGGTGCGGACCGCGCGGTGAGGTCGTTGGGGTATCGAGATGACTCCCGCAGGGAGATCTCGCTGGACTCCCGCAGGGAGTGCTTGTTGTCTTGTTTCTTGCACGGAGTATGATACTGGACCCTCCAGGTATGCCTCCCTCGCAGGTTCCCTCCTTGTGGGGCCCCTTCTTCTGGTCCCTGCGGGGGGTCCGAGCGTGGTCCCTCCCTGCGGGGCCCTCCCCCTTCCCCTCATGGGGTCCCTGCGGGGCCCCGCCGCGAGACGCAGGGAGTCAGCACAATACCGTATTCCCGCAGGGAGACGCGGCGCCCCGCGCGCAGGTCTGTGCAGTGACTCTCGCGGGAGTCAGTGCACTCATGTTGTGGGAGTCGCCAGGCGATTCCCGCCGCGGGAACAGTACAGACTGCGGCGGTGCCCTTGTGGGGCGCCGTGCGCGGACCAACTCTGTGTGTGGCACCCCCGCGGGCGTCGCTGCACTGCTTCCAGCGCGGGTCTCGCCCGAGAGGTGCGGCTACTCGAGCCTGGAGCGGTTCGCCCGCGGCCTGCCGCGTGACGTCCTCCGCTACCACGCCAAGGATCGGGTCGGGCGAAAGGGGGGGACAGCAAAGGGGGGGGTGAGAATCAGCTCACGTAGCTGATTTTCCCGGCGCCTCCCGGCGCCGGGAGGCGCCCATGTATCGAGGAATGGGCCTCTCGGCGGGCCGAAACCAGCTGCATGCAGCAAATTTCGCACCCCCCCCCTTTCCCAATCCCCCCCTTTCGTCCGGCCCGACAGGAGCAGGTGATCTGCCTGCCGAGATGATGGGCGAGGAGGCAGACAGGCATCGGAAACGAATAGCGGACACTCGTGCCACATCAGATTCCCCCTTCCCCCATGGTCGATGTTGACGGCGGATCTGATTTGCACCTCGCCGCGATCGTCCCCCGATGCGCCAACAACTTTGAATTTCGGGGGAGAGGGGGGGGGGCGTTTCCTAATTGATTCCGCATGCCGGAGGTCAGGTCCAGCTGTGAGCGCGGCAAGGGCAGTCACCATTCAGCTCAAATCGATCCGCGTGATTCCAAACCTGGTCCAGATCATTCCGCTCTCACCTCGAGCAAGACCGGCAGTGCTTCGAAGAATGTGGGCGTCGCTTGCCGGCTTCCCTGCGAGTGCCGCGCAGACCGCGGGGCTTCGACGGAGGACGCGCGGCTGAGGAAGGGCACGCGGATGTCGAGCTGTGCGTGGGGAGGTTGTGAGCGCTGCAGCTGCACGATCCGGGGCAGCTCGAAGAAGCAAAGCCCTCCAGGGCCCTGGACAGGTGCTCCCTCTCCCTCCTCGTCTCCGCCCTGGCAGTGCCCATCTCGATCCGATCGATCCGATCCGACATCGATCCTGGCCTGCTCGTAGGTGACCACATGCGAACCCTACCCCTACCCCCCACGAGTTCTGAGACGAAGGGTAGGGTTCACTTTGCTCGGGAGCTCCCGAACGAAGTGACCCCCACCCTCCCCCTTAGATATCGTGGGGGGTAGGGGTAGGGTTCGCATGTGGCTCCCTGGCTCGATGCGATCCGATCCAGATGGTCCAGCAACATGTTGCGGCCCAGAGTTTGCACGGCGCTGTTGTACATCCTGGCGCGGCCGATCCGGTTCGATGTCGATGCCGCTTCCGTGCCCGTGCAGCCGGACCCGACGCACATGCCGATCCGATCCGCTCTCCCGATGCGGTTCTCACGGATCCTGCCCTGGCCGGGGTGCCCCCAACCAATGGCCTCCTCCTACGAGCCCGGGCCGCAGCAGCGGCGGCCAGAAAAAGAAGGCGCCGCCGCGAGCGACCGGCCTGGCCGTGCGCGCGCCCGCACGGGCACGCGCCGCGCGCGAGGCGCTCGTCTCTGGCCGCCGCCGCGGGAGGAGGAGCAGCAAACTGTTTTTTCTGTCCCCTGGCGCCAACGGGCGTGACTGGGGGGGAGCGGGGGAGGGGAGGAGGGGGCCAGTCACTTCACGATTCGCGCCAGCGCCGTCTGGGGAATGCTTCAGGATGGCTCATTCCCAGACGGCGCCGACGCGAATCGTGACGTGACCAGACGGGGGGGACGGGGGTGGGGCGGAGCTGGTCAACGGCGCTATCGCGAATCATGCAAAAGTGGGCTCCGGGAGCGGGCAGGGGGCAGGAGATGGGTGAGGCGGCGGAGGGGGGAGGCGGAGGAGGGGAGTCGGGGGCGTCCAAGAGGGGGGCTGAGGACTGGGGGTGCGTGGACGTCATGGCCAGGGCCATGAGATCATTCAGATGTTGCGGCCCTCGCTCCTCCTTGCAGCACGGTGCCTGGGCTCGCCTCGTCCGCGCAGAAGTCTCCGGCCATGGTGCGCTAAGTACAGTGGGGGCCCATGCCAAGAAACACCCTGTTTGCTCCCAGGGTGCCCTGGGTTTCTGGGGGTTCGATGGTTTTGCGATGGAAAGCGTGACGTTCCCACAAAACAAAATCGTTGGACGTCCTGGGGTCTCAGGGTTGGGTTTCTTGCGGAAGGTTTCTCGTGGTCGAGCCCCTACTGTACATCCCCTCTTCCTGGTCCCGGTGGTCGGTGCACCCGAGGGAGGAGGCAAGCAAGCAAGCAAGCAATCAGACGTTTGTCTGCTGTTCAGCGCACAGCATATCGGCTCGGCGGTGAGGGCGGCCGTTTGCACAGGTGAGAGGCCCCAATTCCCTCGTGGCCAGAACAAAAGGACACAGTACATATGCGCGTCTTGACTTGCACTGCCATCACAGACATCGGGCGGAGGAGGCATGTTGACTTCTTCTGGCAGTGCAGCCGGCGCACCAGGATCTACGCAGGGCGTTCGGTCAGCGCTATACCATCAGCAGCAGAGGCTGGCCCAACGCCCGCTTGGCGAAGTCCCAGCGGGCGGTCTGGAAGCAGTTCTGTTCGATCAGGGTGGTGAGTCGCAGATGGAAGGTGAGGGTCCCAGGGCGACTTCTGCAGACAATGTCGTCCAAGGGATCCTCGAGCCACAGAAACTGCCCAAAGGAGTTCTACGACAAGGTAAAATCCATGACCAGGGAGCTGGCTGCGACGATAGAGCAGAAGACCCGCCTGACGAAGCGCATGGTGGCAATCTCTGAGAGCATTGCCAAGCCGAGGGCTGAGTCACACCTCGAGCTGGGTTGCGCCCTTCAATGCGAACTCCTTGTCGAAAGACTGGGACGCAGCAGTGGCCACGGCAGAAACAAAGTTCTCGTTCACAGTCCCCGCGGGCACAACGGGATGGCACGCGCGGGAAGCGCTCCATTTGTTTTACCAAGTTCAAAAGACAATGCAACACGACATTTGCGCCGTCAAGGTTGCCAAGTTGAAGGACCTCAACAGCAACAGCTACACCCACATCGTTACTCACCATCAGCACTACCATCTTCATCGTCACCATCGTTATCATCACCATCATCATCATCCTCCGCAGCAGCAAAATGCATCATCAGCATCAGCATCACCATCATCATCAGCATCATCATGATCATCATCACCAGCATCATCATCATCAGCATCATCATCATTAGCATCATCATCTTCATCGTCTTCATAATCATCATCGTTATCATCATCGTTATCATCATCGTTATCATCATCATCATCATCATCATCATCATCATCACCACCATCATCATCATCATCATCATCATCATCATCATCATCATCATCATCATCATCATCATCATCATCATCATCAGCGTCATCAGCGTCATTATTATCATCATAGTGACCAACATTAGCATCAGAAGAAGACGCAGGGAGGAGGAGGAGGACGAGGAGGAGGAGGAGGAGGAGGAGGACGAGGAGGAGGAGGACGAGGAGGAGGAGGAGGAGGAGAAGTAGAAGGAGGAGGAGGAGGAGGAAGAAGAGGAGGCGGAGGAGGAGGAGGAGGAGGGGGAGGAGGGGGAGGACTTGTCTCCAGCCGCCGCCGGCCCCCCACTACTCTGCCGTGCCGTCGTGGAGCCAGGGGGAGCGCGCGGGGGGGGGGGGGGGGGGCGCCGCCTGCGGCGGCCGCGGCGCGATGCGGGGGGCGTCGCGTGGGAAGAAGCGGGAGGAGAAGCCGTACAAGCTGCAGCTGCAGGACCCCGGTCTCGGCGGCGGAGAGCTCCCACGGCCACGACCGAGGGCCGGTGCTCTGTTGGACGTGCTCGCCTCATCCGGGGGCCCCGGAAGCTCCCTCGGCAGCGAGCCCAGGGGGGAAGTGGGAAAGAGAAGGCCCTCTCAGAAGGCTCGGAAGTCCACCGGTCTTCCGAGAAGTTTCCTGAGCCGTCCCCGAACACAAACAGAATGTCTCAGCCCGCTGGGCCACCAGGACGTCGGTTCACAGGCGGTGGATATGGATAAATCCCCGCCTCGCACAGAAGGCTGCCTGACTGCGTCGGGGATGAGAGCGAACTTCAAGCGTAGGTACTGTTTTCGGTTCTTTGTGCCTCCCGTCTCTTTTCCTTTCCCAGAGGGGAGATGAAAAGGAGAGAGGGAAGAGGGGGAGCAGGGAGCTTCACGACGGCTGCTGTTTGCTAAGCTTTGGGTTTCATTGGGCTGTTCTCGGCGTGCCCTTACTTTGTTGTTCGCAGGTCTTCACGCTGTTTGGCTGGCCTTTTCTCTGGCAAGTCGATTTGCCTTGAGTGTATCAAGTTCCGTTGCGTGTTGCTTGCAGTCGGGCTTGCTCTACTTTGGAATGCCTGTCGTTTGCCGTGTGCGCAGTGTTTCCTAGCTGCTTCCATGTATGTTCAACTTATGTGGCGCTTGCGTTTATCAGGAGGGGGAAACACACACAGACACAATTATTGAATCGTCGATTCCCAGGAAAGATGGGAAAATATGGGAAGTGGGGGGAAGGCAAAAACCCAGAAAATATGATAAAATATTGGGAATCATGTTATTTGTGTATGTATGCGTGTGTCCCAGGGCCCCTTCAGTATCGTGGGTCGTATGTATTGAGCTGGTGTATGTTGCGCTTAGCTGACCAGCATATTGCTATTTGATGTCGTTTCTCCCGTCGTCCAATGAGATCGCCTTCAGCTTTACTGACATATGAATCGCGAGTAGCCTCCACATCGCCGCTGGCTTGCCTTCGATGTCGGGAGCAATAGCCCGACTGTGCTTTTCACGATGCAGCTTGACCGACTGACTGACTGACTGACTGACTGACTAACTGGTCGGTACACTCATTGGACTTGGCTAGTCGCGCTCATGAGCAGGCCGTTATAAATTCGGCGGTCGAGGGCGCAACATGTGGCGCAACGAATGGTGGCTGTTCCAATTGTCGCCGGCCGAGGGCGCACCCGATGTCGCAGTCAATAGTAGGCCGTTGTAACCTCCGGCGGGCGAATGCAATATCCATGGCGCAACATATGGCGCATCTTCCAATGGCGCAACCCGTTGTGCAACCTCCTTCGGCGAAGTGGATGGTGGAATCCCCAGCGCAACCTGTGCCTCTATATACTGGGCACTGTATGGTGCACACTAGCGCGAACACCGTTGTGCAACCCTTCCATGGCGCAACCTGTCAGGCTACCTCACACAGCCTAACCTACGGCGGGACCCCGCCGTGTCGGCGAGGATGCCCCCCAGGGGTCCCCCCAAAAGCCAGAGGATGCCCACGGGCTCGATCTCGGATCCCAGACCTTTCCCCTACCTTAGCCTGGGGACTCACCTGCGCCCCACACTCATCTGCAGGTGGTGCAGGCTTCCCCACATGTCCGTCGTCGTGCTTTTTCCACAACGCAACGTCTACACCAAGATGTCTAGATCCCTTCCCTGGGACCATTTCTTCATGCCCGGGTCGTTTTTCGA